CAGTGTAGTCCTGATCCTCTATATGAACCAGTCTCAGTGTAGTCCTGGTCCTCTATCAGACCTCCATCAGTGCAGAGACCACCAGAGAGGAGATGGTCTCTTCTTGTAGTCGTGTTCATTTGGAATATTTCTCTGAACTCCGGCTTTATTTATTCAGGTTCCTGTCCTCGACGTCCTGACTAAGCGTCCTAAATGTGACGAGGATGAGAGCGAGTTTTGTTGGATATGTTCAGAAGCAGGCCGAGAAGCTTCTGTACTGAATCCACCGTCGTCTTCTCAGTTAGACGCTAAGTTTAACTTTTTGATATCAAGAAGAAATCAAAGGTGATAAAAACAGTATTTACACGTCTGAGGGTTTTACAAAGAAGCTCAATTCATTTTGAGATGTTTTAGAAACAGGAAGTGTTACAAATCGACATGAGTAACCAAATCAAACAGTGTACAGGATGTTAAACCTTTGTTTCTTTACAACACATTTAATACTTGACTTCTGTTTGAAGGTAATAAAGTAGTTTATGAATATGAGATACCAGTTGACAGATAATAACAGTCCCTCCTCTCTCCAGTGGAGGTTTAGTCGGTTCCACCTTCAGTCTATGAGCAGATCTCTGAGTTACACTCGCTGTCTTCTTGATTCTTCACACTTCATTTCGTTTGTTGGTGCTCTGGTGTCTCAGAGAGTAAAGCAGCTCAGAGACAATGAACGCTATAACGCGCCGTGTACGAGTACAGACAAAGCTTAAGTCCTAAGTCTTGGTGTGAATGAGAGGAAATACTGAAATCACTTTGCAGTCCATTGAGAGGCGTTCAGGGTTCCTGCAGGAGGGGGTCCCAGCGCCACAGCGTCACTGTGACCCCCATGAGGTCTGGTCGGTAGGTTCTTAGGATGCAGTCTTTTGGCTAACTGGACCACGTTCTCCCTCTTTCAGCTGAGCTGCTGTTACTCGCTTTAAGGCGGACATTTTTTTAGTTTGTTGCAAAAAGACGAGAAAGGTCCTGTGTGCAGAGAGAGCAGCGAGTGAACAAGCTGGCTGCTCCGGGGTCAGCATCAGAGCAAAGTGGCATTCCTTAAGATTTAACATCTTTTTTGAGTGGAAACAAAATAATTGTGCTTTGAGTTTCTGAAAATCCACATTTAGAGGCTTTTTGAGTGCATAGAATGGAGAAAAACTGTGTTTTCACAGGAATGTCGGCATCGACACCCAGTTTGTAATCCTGCAAATATATAAATACTGCACCATACCTTCATGAGTGGGCCGTCGGCTCAATCGCTGTTGTGTTTCCTCCCTCAGCGATCGATACTAAACGGACATTTTATTGTCACTTTAAAGTGAACTGCACCTCTTTTTGTAGAGCTTCATCTGCACAACAACACAATCTGTTTTCTTGTTTTTTGTCACTTTTAGGAGGCTGCAGGATGCAGGAGGTGAGTCGGTCACTTCCCACCTCTGCAGCCCTCGAGTGGATAATTTATGTCTGGTTATGTAATGGCCGTCTGTGCCACTTGGCTGCTTTCTGCCGCGCTACTGGTAGCGCTGTAGTCTGAATGTGTCGGATCTGCTGGTACTCTACACTGCATACTGAGGCTCCGGGCAGGAGGGATTGTCCCGGGCCTGAGTGATGGCCTTTACCTCCTTCTCTAACTCACTCCGTTACAGAGCTCTTTGTGATTTAATGCCCTCCGTATAAACTCAGAGGGGAACAGTTTGGATTGTGCAGACTGAGGTCTCTCAACAGGTCACTGGTGGAGATGCTCCGGGTGATGCATACCATGAGAAAACCCCAAAACACGTCACATGGGCTGTGTGAGCATGCTGATGCTCATGTGTTTATGTTGGACTGGATTCATGTTTCAAGTCCACAGACTGTTTATCAGAAGTGGACGTAGTGGTGACGTCATCCATTGACGTTGCACCTACAAAAGATAATGCGCCATAATTCGAAGATGTCCCACGAAATAATTTCGTATGTTATTCTTGTAATTATGAACGAGGAAGTATAAAGACCACTAAGCACACACGGGCGGGTCTTTCTGCCAGGAGTCCAACAAGAAGTCAACGTTGATTTATTTGTCAGGTAACTTGCGTAATGTTTCAGCACTTTCACGATCTTTCCTAAACTTAACCGAGTAGTTTTGTTGTCTGAACTTAAAGTTTCCTGTGAAGACAGAAGTTTATTTTGAAAAGACTGTTTTCATGTAACGAGTGGAAATTGACACGTGTTGCTGGACTTTTGTAGGAAAACACACCAAAAATGAGGAGTAACTTTTCGTGTGATATACGAACCGTTGTACGGATACGTTGCTCGATGCTATCAGTGTCATCAATAACACCATCGATATGCAATCCAGGTCATGTGACTCGAGTCCACACCTGTGATTACATGCAAAAACACAACAAGTGCAAAGACATATTCACACAGGAAGGAAGAAGTATATCGTGTAGCTCAACAACCATTTAGCAGATTCCCTTTTCTCCGTGGATATGAAGACCTCAAGTCCACCTGCTATCAACATGTGATCTCCATGTTTTATCTGGATAACAAGTGGAGGCTTAGTTTTATTTTATTAACAGAAATGATTCACCTCCTGATACCTTCTCTCTCCTCTCCTCAGGGAACATCATTGGCTCCGGCATCTTCATCTCTCCAAAGGGGGTCCTGGAGCACTCGGGCTCGGTGGGCCTGGCGTTGGTGGTTTGGGTACTCGGGGGCTGCATCGCGGCCTTGGGCTCCCTCTGCTATGCTGAACTGGGCGTCACCATCCCAAAGTCTGGGGGAGACTACTCCTACGTCACCGAGATATTCGGCGGCCTGATGGGGTGAGTGAAGAGCTTCTGCTGAACTATCACGAGGAGTCCATGCAGAGCGTCCGATGGCAGAATCAGTGGACGTTACTCAGCTCGGTCATGATGGTAGTTAACTTTCGGTTAGTGACCGTGCTTTGTGTGAAGGTTTGGGTCTTCTGCAGAGGACGGGGTACAGGGTGCAGCTTTCACCAGACAGTAGCACCACTAACTAGATAGTGGACTACTAGTGTAAAGGAAATGATTTATGTTTCGGATATTTTTATGCTGCCGTGCTGGCGAGACCAGAGACATTATGTTTTTGGGTTGTCCGTCCATCGGTCCGTTCGTTAATTTGTTCGTCCGTAACCCTGAATACGATATCTCAGGAAATACTTGAGGGACTTTCTTCAAATTTTGCCATAAACGTCCATCAATAAGTCAAAGTAAGTGACCAGGTGTAACACATTTACACCACCTGCAGATGAAGCAATTCAGCTACCTGGGTGAAGGTGGATTTATTTATTTATTCACTCATTTCCTATTGATTATCGTTTTTTTGTTTTGTTTTTTTAAACATTAAAACTCTCCATTGAAAGCGGGACACTAACACCACAGCTATCACACACCAAAAAACAACTTAATAAAGTCATGGAAAGTATTTCCACACGATGAAACTGCTTTCTTTAAGCATCAAGCAATTATGTTGCTCCAACTTAATTTATTAGGGTTAGGTCAACTTATTTACCAGGGTTGGGTCGACTTAACTTAATAGGATTGGTTGAACTCATTTTACACTAGTAACATTACAGTAGTAAATTAAGTTGACCAACAGAATTGCTTTTTTTGGGTGCAGTCAACCCAAAGTATTTTTTACATTTGCTTTATTCACTAACACAGCACTGATACATTTAACATGTTAGTGCACTTACACAACAATACATTCACATTTTTGGGATTATAAGTATAACGCATTACAGCTGCAATTATAAGTTTGTTGTCAAATAGAAATAACAATAATAATTTTCAGACTAATCCGTAATGAAAACATACAAAAGTTAGTTGCATCCCTAAAATAAACTATACTTTCAGTTGACGACATTATGGTGCAGCATGGTCCAACAGCAACAGTTGTAAACTGCCTTAACGCAGCATAAAACCCTCACCTGTAACAGTAGCAGTACATGTAATGTGTATTCATGTGTGTAATCTACAGTAAATGTTTAATGCTGAATTAAAGAGTGCTAGTTGCTGAGTGTCTTCCTCTCCTCCAGGTTTCTCCTGTTGTGGAGCGCCGTCCTCATCATGTACCCGACCACGCTGGCCGTCATCGCCCTCACGTTCTCCAGCTACGTCCTGCAGCCCGTCTTCCCCGACTGCGTTCCTCCTTACATGGCCACACGGATGCTGTCGGCCACTTGTCTCCGTAAGTGGCTTCTTCACCGTCTGCAGTCTTTGATCGATGTTAATTCTTCCTCAGATTCTCCTACATGGAGCGAGAGATGAAGGACTCTTTATTAAAAAACAATATATGTTTAGCATCGTCTCCTGAAACAGGCGCTTACCCAAGTACTGCACTTTGTACTTAACCACAATTTTGAGGTACTTGTACTATACTTGAGTATTTCCATTTTACGCTATTTATACTTCTACTCCACTAAATCTCAGAGGGAACTTTTGACTCCACTACATTTATTTGATACTTTTAGTTACTTTGCAGATTTAGATTACTAAATATAATCAATTAATAAATGCTGATGTGTTATTATAGATTAAACTACCCAGCAGAGTATGAAGTAAATAAAATAAGCTCAACGTTAAACACAATAATGCATTCATAATTTTAACCCAAT